TTGAGATTTTAGAATGTTTGCACATATACAATGAGATATCTTGGGGACGGCCCAAGTCTAAACATGAAGTTCATTTATGTTTCATATACACCTCATACACATCGCCTGAAAGTGATTTTATATGATATATTTTTTTTTTTTTAATTTTTTTTTTTTTTTGAGACGGAGTCTCGCTCTGTCGCCCAGGCTGGAGTGCAGTGGCGCAATCTCGGCTCACTGCAAGCTCCGCCTCCCGGGTTCACGCCATTCTCCTACCTCAGCCTCCCGAGTAGCTGGGACTACAGGCGCCCGCCACTGCGCCCGGCTAATTTTTTTCTATTTTTTAGTAGAGACGGGGTTTCACCATGGTCTCGATCTCCTGACCTTGTGATCCGCCCGCCTCGGCCTATGTGCGACTCACTGCATGAGGTCAGGTGTGGAATTTTCAACTTGTGGTGTCATGCCAGTGCTCAAAGGGTTTCAGGTTAGGGGGCATTTTGCATTTCCGGTGTTCAGATTAGGGTTGCCCAGCCTGGATCTCCATTGCCTAGCACAGCTCCTGGTACTTTGTAGCCACTCAGATATTCACTGAACTGAAATGGCAGCAGTCTTGCAGTTAGTTCAAAGGGAGAAAAGTTAGCTGGTAATTATCTCCAAGACCCACTGCTTCCTCTACCCTCCATCCTTCAACTATGCTATATACATATCATAAGTAGTATCTGTTTTATTGCTTAAAAAGCATTCTCTAATACCTTAACTCTGGGTTCCCCAACCCTTGGGAACCCCCTGTTAGGAACCAGGATGCACCGTGGGAGGTGAGTGGTAGGCGAGCTTCATTTGTATTGACATCCAATCTCCGTCACTTGCATTACTGCCTGAGCTCCACCTCCTGTCAGATCAGCAGCTGCGTTGGATTCTTATAGGAGTGCAATCCCTATTTGAACTGGTATGTGAGGAATCTAGGTTCCTGGCTTTTTCTAAGAATCAAATGCCTGATCTGTCACTGTCTCCCATCACCCCCAGAGGGACTGTCTAGTTGCAGGAAAATAATCTCAGGGCTCCCACTGATTCTATATTATGGTGAGTTGTATAATTCTTTCATTATATATTACAATGTAATAATAAAGTGCACAATAAATGTAATGTGCTTGAGTCATCCTGAAACCACTGTCCCCTGGACCCACATCCATGGAAAAATTGTCTTCCACAAAACCTGTTCCTGGTGCCAAAAAGTTTGGGGACCGCTGCCCTAACTCATTAAATCTGAAAGCAACTTTGTAAGGTTACTATGATTGTTAAGCCATTTTACAGAGAAGGAAACTGACTCAGAAAGTTTAAGTAACTTAACCTCAGTCACCCTGGGACGTTGCCAGACTTGAAAGCCAGGGCCTTGCCGCTGTACTCGGCAGCCCTTCACATCTGCACACTTGTAATGAGGTCCCTGACTGCTGGCTGCATGCCTGAGTCACAGGGAAGGCCACCTACAGGTGGCTTACAGGCCTTGGAGTTTGTATCATTTCAAGGTCAAGGAGAAATTATCCTTTTGGATGCCTGTTGTACTGTACTGGCAGTTCTAGAGGCATAAAATAAAGTCAGCAGTCAGTTTTAATCCATTGCTGTTGTTTTGTTGCAAACAAATCTCCGAAGGTAAGAAAAATTGATTGTTATGATCAGATGCTGGTTCATGCTGTGCCCATGATTTTATTCATTTTGTTCTGAAGAAATGAGTCATAAGCCCATTTGCTTCCTATCCCCTGTGGCTGAGCTAGTTCAGCTGCACAGCAGTGAGAGAAATTCAGTTCTGCACACATTTATTGATGTGTGTGTCCCCTATGCCAGGCAGTGCACAAGGAGCTGATGCAGACATAAAAAAGCCCCAGTCCTTGTTCTCCGAGAGCCTGGAGTATTTTCTAGGTCCTTTAATCATGGCATGCAATTGTTCTTTTAGGGGGAGGATTAGGATTGTAAAACATAATCTTGATATTTTAAAATGGTAAATCCTTCTCTCGGAAAGTGACTTTAAAATTGAGGAACTTTTTGTTTGTGGAATGTACAGAAAGAAGGAATGACACAAATATTTAGAACTCAACAGTTTTAGAAACTGATCTTTCACTTCAGGGCCAGCCTTGTTAGAGTCAGCATTTGATGACATTTCATGTCTTCAAAGATAATGGAATCCATTTTTATACACATAAGGATTTACACAAGTTGAAAGTTAACTCAGCCACCGCTCCATTCACATTTGTCAAGTCATCTTTGCATCTCATGAATTTGTTTTAAAATGCTAGAAAGTAATATGCCAACATTATAGAAGTGAGGGAAATGGAGGGAAATTATAAGAGTAAAATCATCACCTAAAATGTCACTGCCCTAATACCGAGAGGCAGTTGGACCTGGGGCATGTTACCTTTTCACCTCCATCTCCTCATCTGTAAAACTGAGAATAACAGTACCTATTTTATGGATCTTTGCCATGACCAAATGAGATAGCATATTAAAGCACACATACAAAAACCCACAATAAATGCATTTTATTAGAGCAAAAGTAAGCATTTTTATATAGCCCCTTTGTCCTGTTTTTCTCATTTTTTATGAAGTTTTTTTTTTTGTTTTGGTATGCTTAAAAAAAAAAAATTATATAGAGACAGGGCCTTGCTATGTTCCAGCCCAGGCTGGTCTCAAACTCCTGAGCTCAAACGTTCCCCCAGCCTTGGCCTCCCAAAGTGCTAGGACTACAGATGTGAGCCACCACTCCGGGCCTGTTATACTTTTGTATCTTTGTTTCTTACTGCATATTATTAAATGATCACTTTCCATCTTCTTGGGTGTGATTACTGTCCGTGATAGTAACAGTATGCCATCATAGTGCATCCTTTCCCCTGTTGTTGGACATTTGGGATGCTTTCAATATTATAAATAGTGCTTCAGTGAGCAATTTTATATATGTAGTGTATTTTCGTGGGAAACCTTAAGCAGGTTTCTTAATCTCTGTCTTTGTTGCCTTGTATGTGAATGGGGATAGAATCCTATCTACCTGAGAGGAGAGCTGTGTGTATGAAATGAAGCAATACCACAACGCACTTGGCACAGTGGCTAGTATTTACCAGATGCTCAGTAAACGTTACCTCTTACTCTGTGTTTCTGGCTTATTTCTTTAGGCTTGGTCCAGAGATGGGGTGTCTTGCTTCAGTGCTTTCCGGAAGAATTTTAGCAGTTTATACTGTCAATAGCAATATGTGAAAGGACTGATTTCTCAACCTCCTTATTATCAGTTATCCCAGGTTTTAATTATCTAACAACTCTCTTTCCCTTCAAAATAATAGTGAAAAAATCAAGGTCATCCATATTTGAGCAGATTGTTAGGACTAGGACTCACTTCTGCTCACTCACCTGAACAGTCAGACCCCCCGTACACCAAGGTTAGGTTCCGGAGGCTCTTTGGAAGTCTGTTTGTTTTTGTTTTTGTTTTGCTTTTTTTTTGAGACGGAGTCTCGCTCTGTGGCGCGATCTTGGCTCACTGTAAGCTCCACCTCCCGGGTTCCTGCCATTCTCCTCCCTCAGCCTTCCGAGTAGCTGGGACTACAGGTGCCCGCCACCATGCCCAGCTAATTTTTTTGTGTTTTTTAGTAGAGATGGGGTTTCACCATGTTAGCCAGGATGGTTTCGATCTCCTAACCTCATGATCCACCTGCCTTGCCTCCCAAAGTGCTGGGATTACAGGTGTGAGCCACCGCACCCGGCCTGGAGGTCTGTTTTTCTAAGCTTGCAGTCCCCAGTTGCATTCCACCAAATTGTAGTGTAAATTGGTCCTTTGAAGCTTAAAACCTAGCATATTTTATTCCTTACTCAATGAAGTACATATTGTCGGTCTTCTTTGTATTTTTACTTTTTCTAAAACAAGCCAACAATTTGCACTAGGAAAATCCACTGTGGCAAGTAATGACCTCTATGATCCCTTCCCCTCTCCAGAAAAAAGAAATTGGCAAGGGTAACCATATGTCCTGGTTTGCTCAGTTTATACTTGTCCTAGTGTAATTATTTATAGCAATCCCTTCACCCTCAGAAGTGACCTAGTTTGGATGATAAATTATATCGTCATCCTAGCCCCAGGAGATTCCTCAGCAGCTGGAGTATCTGCCTACACTTGCCACCCCTCCACTCCCCCTGACAAATTGCTGTCTCTCCAACAAAGGATTCAGCCACATTGCTTTCAGCATGCTTGACTCAGAAGGTTCTGCGTGTGTCCAGCCTCTTCTGATTTCGCATTAGCTCAGTAGGCATGCACTCAAGCGTATCCACTTTCCCGTTCCTTTCTCCTCCATCTTGCCGATGGTTGTCAGTGGCATTGGCGGGGCACTTTTCTTTTGATTCAGAAATGTTTTTGTCTTTCAGAATTACTTGTTTTACAGCTCAATTCATCCCATAGGCAAATGTAACATCTTCGTTTCTCATCACTTGCAGTTTAACAAGTTCTATCTGTTTTCAATTTCATCTTCAATGCAAACCTCCTTTTATAGAACCTTTAAGCCTTATTTTGCCATTGTAAAATACGATAAGATTAATTATATTCATAAAGTACCTCAAAAGCCCTCATAAGCATACAGGTCAACCATGAGGAAGCAATGGCAAGGACAAGTCTGCAGTGATGGTGCACAGCTCCTGTCTCCCTCGTTGGCCACAGGCAGAGTTTGACCCATGAGACAGGACTTTGTAGGTGCAGAAGTGTCTGCATTGGAAAAACTAAAACAAGTTAACTACTCGCTTGTGATTACCTTCTGAACCTAAGTAACTGTAAATTTAACTGGCATAAAGGGCTTTGTGATTTGAGAGACCCTGTTTTCCTCCAAACAAGAGCTCACATTTCTTGGGTAAAGTGCCCACATTTTGAGGAGGAAAAACAAGTGTTTTGATGAGGGATCCTGCCAGAGTGAACCCATGCAGTATCAGTGTGGGGAGTGTCATTCATAGGTCAGAGTGTGGATTCTTAATGGAAGATGTGTTTATCTCTTTGTTTTAACCAGGTGACTTTCGGATGGTGGTTGGAGAGGATAAAACAAAAGTGCTGAATATTGTGAAGCCCAATATAGCCCACTTTCGAGAGCTCTATGGCAGCATACTACAGGAGAATCCTCAAGTGGTGTATAAAAGCCAGCAAGGCCAGCTGGAGGTAAACTGTATGTGGAAAATAGCTTGCATTGTTTCTAAGACAAGGGCTATTTGCAGGAAGAAAGTCAGGGGTAGAACAGCATGACTGGTGTGAGAACATTTATAGTTCAAAAAGTAAGTACTGTATGTAAACATAGGCTTCTGTGTATCTGGAATAATGCTAAGAGGTAACAGACTAGTAATAAGAGGCTGCCTTTGGAGAAGGGAACTAGGGGCAGAAGTGGGAGAGGGACTTACTTTCACCATGTGTATCTTTTTTGCCATTGGAAAATCTTACCATGTCTATTAATTACCAGTCAAAACAAGTGAAAATAAACTTTTAGATCACTCTCATTCCATCCCCAGACCCATGTAGCTCCCCAGAGGTAACTGTACTGACAGTTTGGGGTTTTGTTTTTTGTTTGTTTGTTTGTTTTCTTTTTTGGGGACAGGGTCTGACTCTGTTGCCCAGGCTGGAGTGCAGTGGCACGATCTCGGCTTACTGCAGCCTCAACACCCCTCAGCCTGGGATCAAGCCACCCTCCCACCTCAGCCTCCTGAGTAGCTGGGACTACAGGTGCATGCCACCACGCCTGACCAATTTTTGTATTTTTTTGTAGAGACAGGGTTTTGCCATGTTGCACAGGCTGGTCTCAAACTCCTGAGTTCAAGCAGTTTGCCCGCCCCAGCCTTCAAAAGTGCTGGGATTATAGAGATGAGCTGCTGCACCCAGCCTGCTGTCTGTTCTTCCACATCTTTTCACATGTACTTTTGTGTATGTTTGCATGCATGTATCAAGAGGTTCGGTTTTGTTACACATTAATGGGCTCATATATATTCAAAATTCTCTTCTTTCCCCACTTGTTATGTTTATTACGTCTGGGAATTTTTCTTTTCGATGTATCAAAACTTTCTTTTTTTTTTTTTTTTGAGACGGAGTCTGGCTCTGTCGCCCAGGCGGGAGTGCTGTGGCCGGATCTCAGCTCACTGCAAGCTCCGCCTCCCGGGTTCACGCCATTCTCCTGCCTCAGCCTCCCGAGTAGCTGGGACTACGGGCGCCCGCCACGGCGCCCGGCTAGTTTTTTGTATTTTTTTAGGAGAGACGGGGTTTCACCATGCTAGCCAGGATGGTCTCGATCTCCTGACCTTGTGATCCACCCGTCTCGGCCTCCCAAAGTGCTGGGATTACAGGCTTGAGCCACCGCGCCCGGCCAAAACTTTCTTATCAAGGTGTTGTTTAAATTAATATTAAGTGTTTGTTTGAAAATAAAAACCAGGGTGGGCCACAGGTTTTTGTTTTTTTTTTCCGTTAATGTAAAGAACACTGTATTTTTCTTCGTTTATGCTCTTCTCCCTCCACATAATAGGGGCAACTAACATGTAATGAGTAATAGAGTAACGGAATTTCTAGAGCTAAAAAGGAAATTTTAAAAAATAGGAATTAGTTTTAAAATAAGAAAAGAATAGAGAGTGACATATGAAATGTGAGAATACCCACCACTCAGTTTAACAGATTTTGCCACATTTGGTTCAGGTTGAGGTTTTTTGTTTTATGCATGCACATGGTTTAAAAGCCAAATGATACCTCAAGTTTATAACAAAAAGAGCAGTTCCTTCCCACATTCTCAGCCCTGCTACCAGGGGCAGCTGCTTTTGTCTCTATAGCTAATTTTTCCCATATTCACTACCATGTTCTAAATAATATGCTTTGACTATTATTTCTTGATTTTTTTTTCAATCTTATACTTTATGTTTGCCATCCTGTAAGATGGGGACTTTTTTACTGTCTTACACTACCCCATCAATTCATATACCAATACACACACTCACACACATGCACTTAGCACACACAATCTCTTCCCCTCCTACCTCATGCCCTCATGCTTCACTTAAAGTTATTTCATGTTTTTGGTTAGGTTAATATTCAATATTTATTTTATTCTGACAGCCTTTTCTTTATTGATGAGCTGTGGCATTATGAAGTTCCCTTTCCTGTACATCTTTGTTTCTCCTGGAGTTAATAGTTGTCTTATTTTTTCAGTTGCTTAGGTCAATCATCCTCAAACTCTGACAGATCTGTAAAACTCTTCCCATTATAGACAAATTTATTGGGTATTTTCCATTTCTTGTTTTTCATAGAAATGTTTTTCCTGGAGCCCCCTGCCCTGTTCCTTTCTCGGCTGGTTGTTTTCTAGCCCACTGCACAGCTGCTCTCCTCTACCTTCCTTTCATTATCACCCCGAGAATTCCCTTTGCCTCCCCTATGCTAGTTTTTGGTTTTGTGGGTCTTGCATTTTCCTCTTCCATGGTTTACACTCTGATATTAGTGAAGTTTGTCTTTTATTACCTTCTTAAAGGGTGTGAGGGAGGTACATTTTTGAGACCATATACCTCTGAAAATTCTACCCTCCCTTTGATGGATAGTATTGGCTAGATATCAAATTCTAGGGTGGAAATAATTTTCCCTCTTTATTTATATCTGCTTTCCATTCATTATTCAGTCACTTGGTTCCTTCCTTCCTTCCTTCCTTCCTTCCTTCCTTCCTTCCTTCCTTCCTTCCTTCCTTCCGTCCTTCCTTATGTCCTTCCGTCCTTCCTTCTGTCCTTCCCTTCCTTCCCTCCCTTCCCTTCCCTTCCCTTCCCTCCCTCCCTCCCTCCCTCCCTCCCTCCCTCCCTCCCTTCCTTCCTTCCTTCCTTCCTTCCTTCCTTCCTTCCTTCCTTCCTTCCTCGGTTGCCCAGGCTACAGTGGAGTGGCACAGTCCTGGCTGGCTGGCTTGCTTCCTTCCTTCCTTCCTTCCTTCCTTCCTTCCTTCCTTCCTTCCTTCCTCCCTCCCTCCCTCCCTCCCTCCCTCCCTCCCTCCCTCAGTTGCCCAGGCTACAGTGGAGTGGCACAGTCCTGGCTCACTGCAACCTCAAACTCCCAAGCTCAAATGACTCTCCCACCTCAACCTCCTGAGTAACTGGGACTACAGGCATGCACCACCACGCCCGAGTGGTTTTTGTATTTTCAGTAGAAACAGGGTTTCACCATATTGCCCACGCTAGTCTCGAATCCTGGGCTCAAGCCATCCTCCCACCTTGGTCTTCCAAAGTATTGGGTTAACTGGTGTGAATCACTGCGCCCAGCCTCAGTGGGTCTTTTCTATCTGGAATTTTATAAGCTTCAATTCTAAAGAATTTTTTTTATTATTTCTGTAATTATTTTTCATACCCATATTCTTAGTTTGTTCTTCCTGGGATTCCTGGAAGAATCCAGGAATCCCAGGAGGTGGGTGGTTGCTAGTTAGGTGGTTGCTAGACCTCCTGGTTTAACCCTTTTTCCTCTCTCTCTCTCCCCCCCGTCTCTTTGTTTATTAAATTTAGCTTTATGGGAGAATTTTTCTGATTGGTTTTGTAACACTTCTACTGAATTTTTAATTTTCCCAAAATGTTCTTTCTTATAGCATCCTGTTTTTGTATTATGGATGCATTATTTTCTCCTGATCTCTTTAATGATCTTTATTATAGCATTTGAAGATTTTTGTCTTGTTCTCTCACATTGTTTCTTTCTCTTAGTTCCTCTTGTCTGTTTATACTGTAGTCTGTTATGTTAGAAGCCTTCAAATGTCTGAATTTCCTTCCTGCCCTATTTTTTAAATTAATTAATGAATTAATTAATTTGGCAGGGGGTTTCACTCTGTCACCTAGGCTACAGTGTAGTGGCATGATCATAGTTCACTGCAGCCTTGAACTCTTGCATTCAAGTGATCCTCCCACCTCAGCCCCTTGAGGAGCTGGGACTATAGGCCCATGCCACTGTGCCCAACTGGTTTTTTTTATATATATGTATATACATATATTTGTACCCATATGATCTGAGACATTAACTTTTTTTTTTGTAGAGACAGGGTCTCACTTTGTTGCCCTGGCTGGTCTCGAACTCCTAGGCTCAAGCAATCCTCCCGCCTTGGCCTCCCAAAGTACTGGGATTACAGGCAAGAGCCACTGTGCCTGGCTCTGGCCTGTTTTTAAAGAATGAGGCACTAAAATGCAGACTGGAAGTTCTTTGTGGTATATCAGGCTTGTCAACTGGTGGGCTTGACTATAGGATTATGAGGCAAAGACCTAGCTATTTTGTTTTGTTTTGTTTTGTTTTTTTTGAGATGGAGTCTCTGTCGCCCAGGCTGGAGTACAGTGACGCGATCTCAGCTCACTGCAACCTCCGCCTCCTAAGTTCAAGCGATTCTTCAATCGGGAGCCTCCCAAATAGCTGGAACTACAGGCATGTGCCATCACACCCAGCTAATTTTTGTATTTTTAGTAGCGACGGGATTTCACCATGTTGGCCAAGCCAGTCTTGAACTCCTGACCTAAGCAATCTGCCTGCTTCGGCCTCCTAAATTGCTGGGATTACTGGTGTGAGCCACTGCACCTGGCCAAGGACCTGGCTGTTTTATTGGAGGATCTCAAATATCAGTGTCTGTAGAATTTCTCCAGAGATCTTCTATTCTCTGGCTAGAGGACAGGAAAGTATAATGTGTCTGTCTACCAACTTTCTAGAAACTGAGCAAGGGAAAAGGACTAGGAATTTTCTCCAACTGTGAAGATAAAGGTATCCAGAATCCTCCCTACGGCCTATAAAAGTCTGCGTGATCTAGTTTCGCATTGGTTTCTTTTCCCAGGAAATTTACAAGAATAAGATTGGGGGACTGAGTTACAGCTCCCAGTGCTGTATCTGGACTTGAGACTGCAACTGAGACTCATCATCTCCCACCTCTGCTACTCATCCAGATTCCCTTCACCTTCATCCGTCACTTCTGCTTATTTTGACAGGGTGGTCCAGACCGTCATCTCAGAGGAGTCTGGAGGACCCTGGCCACCACATTTGTCCTCTTACCATAAAAATTGGGCAAGGGGTCCTCTAAGAGATGTGTATCAGCACCCCAGCTCCTGATGACCAGGGCCAGTTACTTCTGCCAGTGTAGTGACTCATTGCCTTGTCTGCTGGACTTATGGCATGGGATTCTAAATGGATTGGGTGGCAGTCGTAACTTTAAAAAGTTAATGGGATGCTTACTGTGTCCTCTGGTAGAACCATCCCTTCTTTGGGAATTGGGACCTCTAGACCCACAGACCTAGAGCTGTGGTGATAGGAAACAAAATGTTCCCAAGTGGGTCCCTGGGAATGATAAGGTCACTTCTCCTTCTACCCTTGGTTGCCAGGCCCATGTCTTCTGCCAGTTGGGAATATAGTACTGTGTAATGGTGATTGATTCTGGATGTGTAGCACAGCCCATCCTCGCAGGACAGTGTCTTCAAGCTGTGCCTCTGCTCTGCGTTGACACATAAAATCTGCCTTACCCCTGCATCTTTTAGGTCTTCAGGTGGTGCCCATCTCTGCCATTCCTCCTGGGATATGGTTTTATTTTTTCTTTACTGTTTTGGCGACAGGGAGAGAATGGCAGCTTCACGCCTCTAATCCCAGCATTTTGGGAGGCCGAGGTGGGTGGATCACTTGAGGCCAGGCATTCAAGACTAGCCTGGCCAACATGGCGAAACCCCGTCTCTACTAAAAATACGAAAATTAGCCAGGCATGGTGGTATGCGCCTGTAATCCCAGCTACTCGGGAGGCCGAGGCATGAGAATCACTTGAGCCTGGGAGATGGAGATTGCAGCGAACTGAGATCGTACCACTGCACTCCAGCCTGGGCAACACAGCGAGACTCTGTCTCAAAAAAAATAGTAATAACAAAACAAAATATTAGCTTTATTGATGAATACTTCTATACCATAAAAGCTAGTGTTTATAGTATATTCATAGAGCTGCACAGCCATCACCACAATGTAATTGAAGAATATGTCTGTCACTCCATACCCATTAGCAGTCCCCAGCTCTCCCCTCCCCCAGGAAACCACTAATCCACTTTCTGTCTCTGTAGATTTGTCTGTTCTGGACAGTTCATATGAAAGGAATCATACAATATCAGGTTTTTTCCATATCTATCTGCTTTTTTCTTAAGTTGACATTTAATAATTGTATCCATGTCTGCTTTTAAAATGCAATTTCACTTTCACAATTTAGCTGAATGCTTTCACTTTCATATTTTCATGAGAATTAGTGTAAGGAAAATGAGAATTTACCAAATTTTTAAACCATGTCACCTGATATTTTATCTTTACACACATGCTTTCAAGTGAAAATTCCAGTGCATTATTTTCCTGAAGAGAAAGCAGTGGCAAATACTACTTTCTAATTTTTTTATATGTCACTCAAGCCATTGGAAGCTTCATAGGTAAAGCATAAGTGAAATATAAGTTTATTCTAACTAATCCCAATATGTGGCCTCAAAACATAAGCCCATAAATGTCATTTCTAAGATTAGTTTATATAAATACTCAAATTTGTTGTCATTTTTGTAGCCAAAGCTAAGTAGAGGATGGGTCCTGTGAATTTAGAACCATCCTAGTGATAAATGTCAAATATTTAGGTAAAAACCTAAATATTTACCCCTCTACCTTTACGGAACCATTAAATAATAACATTTTCTCCTGCTTTGCATAGATTTTTATAGGCAAAACTAGAAAATTCAGGTATTTGGTATGTACTTTTTTTTTGAGACTGTCTTGCTCTTGTCACCCAGGCTGTAGTGCAGTCGCACAGTCACCGCTCGTCATATCCTCAACTTCCCAGGCTCAAATGATCCTCCCAACCTCAGCCTCCCAAGTAGACAGAACTATAGGCTTGCACCACCATGTCTGGCTATTTTTTTTTTTCATAGAGCTGGATATCTCACACTTTTGCTAGGGCTGATCTTGAATTTTTGGGCTCAAGCAATTCTCTCACCTCAGCCTCCCAAACTGTTGGGATTACAGGTGTGAACCTGCGCACCTGGCCCATGTGGTATATAGTTAATAAATATTTATTCAATTTTAAAAATGGTAGAGTGAGTAGATTCTAATTAAGAAAGTTGGTCATATCTGTAAACTCTAAGCCTAAAATGTAATACATTCATCTGATTTTTTCTTACTGTTCTCTTAATTGAAGTTAAAACCTAAATATTTGTGAAAAGGATACAAGACAGATTCTTCCTTGGGAAATAACGTGATGAGCTATTGAGGGCGGTGTTACTGGTTCTGCACTTGGCAGGAAATCAACGTTTACAAGATTTTTAAAAATTCATTCCATGAGGCACAGTGTATGAAACTGAGAGTTAGGAAAGCTAGGTCTGGCCTCAGCTCTGTGGCTAACTTTTGATTCAAGGGTTTCTGAGTAAAGTCTGACACATAGTTTTACATGTTTTATTTATACATTTATCTTCAGCATCTTAACATCTTAATGTGTTTTAGAATACTTTAGGAACCAAAGCCACTGGCATAGTAGCTGTAGGACAACTAAGTTGTATTGATTCAGTTACTCATTTCCTTATTGTTTTTTGAGTAACTACTGTGTGCCGGGGATTAAAAGTGAGTAAGATTAGTTTCTGTCATCAGTGTGTTCCTACAGTTTGCGAAATACAGCATACTAAAAGGCCTTACAGGCAGGAGACACAATTCAGATCCCACTCACTCTCATTGATGGTGTGATCAGGGCATGTCAGTCTCCCTGCATTTGAAATGGGAGGGGTCATCTCAGTGCCCGGATTTGACGTGGCCTCCATGAGTGTCAACTGCAGCACCACTTCCTTTGACTGCTGGATTTAAGACAAATATAAATTTTAAAACCAAAAGTCAAAAATTGATCCTTGAGAGTGGCTTCTATTCTTAGGTAGAAATGGAATATTATAGGACAAGAATTATCCTTTTTGAAGGGACTTAGACTCCTGAACTGAACCCATTCAGTTTCGGAAAACAGAGTCTCCTTAGCGTGCTGCCTCGCCAGGGGTGTGGGTGCATATATGTCTTTGTGATTTTGAAAGAGAAGCCTTGTGTCTGTGAGTATTTGTAGAATTTAAAGCACTTCCATAGACATTGTCTTTGTTCCCCGCTTCAGATAGATAAAAGCCCAGAAGGACAGTTCACTCAGCTGATGACATTGCCCAAAAGCTTACAGCAACAGATACATCATATTATGGACTCTCCTGGGAAAAACAGAGATGTGGAAGAAACTTTATTTCAAGTGGCTCATGATCCCGACTGTGGAGATGTGGTGCGACTAGGTACGTTTATGAATTTGAGGTTGAGGAAATGCCAGCCTTGTGAAAAAGCGGACTTTGTGATTGGGACATACTATTTCTTCCTTTTTGTTTAGTGAAATAGATTGCCTCTCAGAAGAAGAAAGCACTAAAAGTTTGAGGGTTTTTCTAAATCTGAATTTTTACTTGTTTGAAGTAACATGGTGAAAATACTTCTATTTTTAAATTCCTGGATCCTAAATCACTGTCAAAGGGAGAAACAATGTTTCTTTTGGTTTCTAGAGCACAACTTCTAGAATTTATTTAAAAGATATGTCTGTGTTCTTTCTGGTGGTCTGAGAAAAGAGATTGGTGGCATTTTTTTGTGCTTTTATAACATCGAGAACACAGCTTTCCTCAATCAACTCCATTTGATGCGTCTCATACAGTGTTCAGTGCATTCCCTCAGACATGGCCCACGTTCCACAGCATTTTCCCCAGCACTGCCCTAATGTTTATCCAAAACTCTGAACCCAGGCCAGGTGCAATAGCTCATGCCTGTAATCCCAACACTTTAGGAAGTCCAGGAGGGAGAATCACTTGAGGCTAGGAATTTGAGACCAGCTTGGGCAACAGAGCAAGACCCTGTCTCTGCAAAAATTTAAAAAGTAGCTGGGCATGGTGGCACATGCCTATAGTCTCTGCTAACTTGGGAGTCTGAGGTAGGAGGATCGCTTGAGCAGTTGGAGGCTGCAGTGAGCTAGGATCATACCACTACACTCCAGGCTGGGCAGTAGAGCAGTCCTTATCTCTTAAAAAAATAATAATAATAATAATTTTTTAAAAATCCTGAACCTGATCTTCAGACACTAACTTCCCTTTAAGGTGCTAAAGGTAATTTATGAGATCAGTCAATCAAGAAATATTTATAAAATTGAGAATGAGTCCCTCTGTCAATTGAGTGCATTCTCCTGTTTTCCTTCAGTAAATGTGTACTGAGGTGCCAGATAGAATTTACGGAAATGCTTTGCTGAGACCATCACACTGCAGTGGAACATGAGCTGCAGCAAGTGCTCCACTCCCACTCTCCGCCTGGGCCTGACTAGGTTTGCACTGGGTCACCAGCTCCCCATCCTGAAGATAGCTCTGTGTGAGGCACACTGTTGTTTGTTTGAACGTGATCCTGGCAACAGTGTGATCTGGGCTGTCTCTTTGAGGGGAGTGAAACTTGTTCCTCACTGTGGAATCCGTATGTGTATTTTCAGAATGAAAGTTTTTCTCGTAGATGTAATCATTTGGTTTTTATCTTTTCATGTTATGCAATTGAGAACCAGAAATCTCAGGCAGATTTAAGTCATAAAACCTTAAATCTGACCCTTTGAGGGTCAGCTAACCCACCCCCTTGTTTTAAGGGGAGGAGGTGCAGAACTATTCGGTCATCGGCTTGGACCCACACAGCCGGGTGGCGCCGCGGCTGGCTGCTCTGGTCTCCTGGCCCTCAATTCCAGTGCCCTTTTCACTGTCACTGTGACAGCAGGACAGAGATAGATTTGGTGGTTTGATTGGCTGACTAGAAAGAATATTTAGTTTCAAATTTTAAAACTGTTAAGATGACTAACATCTGTTTTGGGTTTTTTGGTCTCCTTTTTGTTTTTATCTCACAGGGCTTTCAGCAATCGTGAGACCTTCTAGTATAAGACAGAGCACCAAAGGCATTTTTACTGCTGGTAAGAGCTTTAGAAATCCATGTATAACATACCTGCTGACTAAAGCTTTGTCTCTTTTAAGTGCTTGTGAAATGCTGAGCTTTGATGGCCATAAACTGGGATATTGCAGTAAGGTACAAACAGGCATAACAGCAGCAGAATCTGGTGGTCTAACAACGTCAGACCATTGGCAGTGCTGTTGGAAGCTTTACTACCCTTCTGAATTTTCCGAGATACGTCCTGTGTGCAGGGTTTTTTCCTCATGTTGTTTTATTTATCAGAGTTACAGATGTATAGGATTGCAAAAACAGCAGCACCTGTGCTCCCTCTCTTCCCCTTCTCTGAGACAACTGCTTCCATCTTAGTGTGTTATTTTTGTTTTCACTGCCATTTCTCTAAATGGTGAGTTTTCCTTGCTCCTTCTGTACGTTTCAACTTTAGTATCATCTATTGACTTCTCTCTATGGGAGGTTAGAATTCAACTCTGGCACCCACCCTCATCAAATGTACTCACCCTCCCATCCCTCTGTCCTCCTAATATAGTTGTCTCGTGGCTTTGGCTAGTTTTCAGTTTGATGGTATGGTGAGCCACATAGTACACCTTTCCTTCCCTGCACAATGTTCTCTCATGGAGAGTGTCTTCACTGTCCCCTGTAGGGGGTCCCTCATTTCTTGTATCTCATGTCTTTCACTTGCTTGGTGCACACTCTCATTTTGGTAAAGCACACTCTCCAGTAATTACCTGAGAAAGGGAACATGGAAGGCACATTTGGAGACCATGTATGTCTGAAAGTCTTTTTTGTCTGCCCTCACCCATAATTAATACTTAGACTGGGTATAGATTAGAAATCACTTTCCTTTAAAATTTTGAGATCATTGCTGCATTTATCTTTTACTTCTAGGATTGTTGTCTATGTCTAAAGCCAATCTGATTCTTAATACTTTGTATATGTTATTTCTGGAAGCATGTTAGGTCTTTATTTTTCCCCAGTGCTCTGAATTCTCTCAGTGATGTGCTTTAATGCGAGTCTGTTACCTGTTTCACCAGGAACTCATTGCCCTTTCTGTTGGGAAACTCAGAATATAAGCGTATAAGAAAATGTTTTAAATTTTTTCTTTAATTTTGTCCCATCTGTTTTCTCTGTTCTCTTTCTGGAACTCCTTATATTCAAATATTGGATCTCTTAGATTAGTCCTTTGGTTTTTGTCTTCTATTTTTTATCTATTTGTTCTTTTGCTCTGCTTTGGGAGATTTTCTCGAATTTCTCAACTTTAGCTTCCAACCCTTCTGTTGAGTGTTTATAATTTCCAGGAACTCTCTCTTTTCTTGTTCTCTGAATGCTCCCGTTTTTTGCATCCTATTCTTGTTTTATGGCCTAAATATTTGACATCTCTTTGGAGGACAAAGTGGCTGTATCAATTCATTGTCCCACAAGCAGAGTAGGAGAATACTCTTTTCTTCCCATTTTTTCCAACATTTGGCATCATCAAGTGATTGATTGACTTTTCTGGTTCAGGCTTTCTCTGTGCAAGCATCCATTGAGCATCTCTCATGTGCCAGCCGCTCGGGATACAAAATTGAACACAGTGCTGAATTAGTCTGTTCTCACGCTGCTAATAAAGACATACCTGAGATTGAGTAATTTATAAAGGAAAGAGATTTAATTGATTCACAGTTCCACATGGCTGGGGAGGCCTCAGAATCATGGCAGAAGGTGAATGAGGAGCAAAGTCATGTCTTACATGGTGGCAGGCAAGAGAGCGTGTGCAGGGGAGCTCCCTTTTATAGAACCATCAGATCTCACGACACTTAATCACTATCATGAGAACAGTACAGGAAAGACCTGCCTCCATGATTCAATTACCTCCCACCGGGTCCCTCCCACGATGTGGGGATTATTACAATTCAGGGTGAGATTTGGGTGGGAACACAGAGCCAAATCATATCAAATGCTATACTGCCTTCCAGAGGCTTATAATCTAGAAGGGAAAAGAGACATGCTAACAGAAATTTGTGAGAGAGGGAGAAATAGCACAGAGGTAGCCCAAAAAGGGGAGTCATCTTTCAACCTAATTCCGATCCCTGAGTTTGAGATTGCTGGGGAGCTGGTGTGGTCACACCTCTCAGTGTCTCATAGCCCAACTGCACCGCTCTGAGCATTTGGCCCTTAAGGACCGTGTTGCCCTCCTGAATCACTGGAAAGATTCAACCACGGCCAGGTGTGGTGGCTCACACTTATAATCCCAGCACTTTGGGAGGCCAGGGTGGGAGGATTGCTTGGGCTCAAGAGTTCAAGACCAGCCTGGGCAACACAGCAAGACCCTGTCTCTTTAAAAATAATAAAAATAGGCCAGATGCAGTGGCTCACACCTATAATCCTAGCACTTTGGGAGGCCAAGGCAGGAGGATCACTTGAGTCCTGGAGTTCGAGATCAGCCTGGGCAACATGGTGGAACCCCATCTCTACAAAAAATATGAAAAATAGGCCAGGTGTGGTGGCTCATGCCTGTAATCCTAGTACCTTGGGAGGCCGAGACAGGCGGATTATCTGAGCCCAGGAGTTTGAGATCAGCCTGGGCAACATAGTGAAACCCTGTCTCTACTAAAGTACAAAAAATTAGCCGGGTGTGGTGGTGCATGCCTGTAGTCCCAGCTTCGAAAGGCTGAGGCAGGAGAATTGCTTGAACCTGGCAGGCGGAAGTTGCAGTGAGACAAGATTGTGCCACTACACTCTGGCCTGGGCGACAGAGTGAGACTTTGTCTCAAAAAAAAAAAAAAGTGCTGGGCATGGTGGTGCACACCCGTAGTAGTCCTGAGCCCTGGATGTCGGGGCGGCATTGAGCTGAGAACGCGCCACTGCACTTCAGTCTGGGTGACAGAGTGAGACCCTGTCTCAAAAAAAAATTATAATAATAAAAATATTGTATAAATTAAAAAGTTTCAACAAAGACTTAGTAGCACTTGCATCACATCTACTGAACTAAATATTTTCCTACCATTTGGGTGCATGGCTTTGCATTTCCAGTTAAGATATTCATTTAATCTATGTTCCTGCTAGTTTACTCTGGCAACACTGAAGATGAAGTACTTTTGTTTGTTTGGGTGATTCATGCTGTTAATCTGAATTTTACATGATTGCCTCTCCCTTGCCGTGATCCTCCTTGGGTGAGGCTTAATTATTTGTTTTGTTTTTGGCGTCGCATGCTGTAAGGAATTATTGGAATTATTAGAATTATTGCTAATTATTTTTCAGTTGTGACGATGGTGGTGGTATGGAGCATTTTTTTAAAAATCCCTTTCTTTTAGAAATGCATACTAAAATAATTCCAGATGCAGTGATATGTTGTCTGGGATTTGCTTCCAAATAAAACATGGCAGAGGGCAGTGGGTAATGGGTAGATGACACAAGATTGGCCATGAGCTGATACATTGTCAAAGCTGGGTAAAGATGCATGGGGCTGTTTTATACTCTTCTGTCTGTGATTTAAGTTTGAATTTTTCTCTAATAAAAGACTGAAAAAGATCTTGACACCTTCAACCTGAAATGAACCTTTGGTCCTCTTTCCACTCATTATTTCTATTCACCAGCAGAGGGCAGTTGGTCACAGAACCCACAGCTCAGCTGTCCTTGTGGCCCTGGAGTGCTGATGCTGCTTCCCCTGAGTGCTTACCGCTTGCTTCCCCTTCCCTTTTTTTTTCTTTTTAATTTTTAAAATGTTTAAGGAATACAAGTGCATTTTTCTTACATGGTAAAGTCTGGGCTTTTAGTGTACCCATCATCGCCCAAATAGTGAACATCGTGCCCAATAGGTAATTTTCCAACCCTCACCTCCTCCCACCCTCACACTTTTTATAGTCACCAGTGTCATTCTATTCTGTATGCTCATGCATACACGTTGTTTAGCTACCACTTAAAGTGAGAACATGTTGATACTTGAATTTCTGTTTGAGTTATTTCACTTAGAATCATGGCCTCCAGTTCTACCCATCTTGCTGCAAAAGACATGATTTCATTCTTTGTTATGACTAAGTAGTATTCAAAGTGAGATATAGATACAGATATACACACAATTTTGTTATCCAGTCCTCCATTGATGGACACTTAGGTTAATTCCATATTATTGGTATTGTGACTAGTGCTACAGTAAACATACAAGTGTTTTTCTTGTTGTTGTTGTTGTTGTTGTTTGATATAATGATTTCTTTTCCTTTGGGTATATACACAGTAATGGGATTGCTAGATCAAAGGTTAATTCTATGTTTAGTTCTTTAAGACATCTCCATCCTGTTTTCCATAAAGGTTGTACTAATTTAGATTCCCTTCAACAGTGTATAAAGCATTCCCTTTTCTCCACATCTGCACCAACATCTGTTTGTTGTTTTTTGTTTTTTTGTGAAACAGAGCAACAGCCTCGCTCTGTTGCTCGGGCTGGAGTATAGTGGCATGATCTCAGCTCACTGCAACCTTCACCTCCTGGGTTCAAGCGATTCACCCCCCTCAGCCTCCCGAGTAGCTGGGATTACAAGCATGTGCCACCACACTCGGCTAATTTTTGTATTTTTAGTAGACACGGAGTTTCACCATGTTGGCCAGGCTAGTCTCAAACGCCTGGCCTCAAGTGATCCACCCACTTCAGCGTCCAAATTGCTGGGATTACAGACATGAGCCACCATGCCCGGCCTCAACATCTGTTGTTTTTTTGTCTTTTCAGTAATAGCCATTCTGACTGGTATAAGGTGGTATTTCATTGTAGTTTTAATTTGCATTTCTCTTGCGATAAGTGATGTTGAGCATTTTTTTTTTCATGTTTGTTGGTAGTTCGCATGTCTTCTTTTGAAAAAATGTCTGTTGATGTCCTTTCCCCACTTTTTAATGAAGTTATTTTTTTTTTTTCCTTGTTGAGTTGTTTGAGTTCCTTATAGATTCTGGATATTAGCCTTTGTTGGATACCTTTTTTCCTTGTTGAGTTGTTTGAGTTCCTTATAGATTCTGGATATTAGCCTTTGTTGGATACCTTCTTTTGCAAATATTTTTATCCCATTTTGTAGGTTGTCTTTTGGTGCTCTGTTGATTGTTTCTTTTGCTATGCAAAGGCTTTTTAGTTTAAGTCCCATTTATCTATTTTGTTTTGTGTTTGCTTTCGAGGACTTGATCATAAATTATTTGTCTAGGCCAATGTCCAGAAGAATTTTCCTAGGTTTTCTTCTAGGATTTTTATAGTTTCAGGTCATTTTTCTTCTAGGACTTTGTAGTTTCAGGTCATACATTTTAAGTTAATTTTTTTATATGGAGAGAAGTTTGTGTCCAGTTTCATTCTTCTGCCTATGGCTATGCAGTTTCCCCAGTACCATTTATGGAATAGAGTATTTTTCCCTATGTGTATTTTTGTTGACTTTGTCAAGGATCAGTTGGTTGTAGGTATGTGGCTTTATTTTTGGGTTGTCTAATCTGTGTGTCTGTTTTTATTTATTTATTTATTTTTAGTTTTTTTTTGAGATGGAGTTCCACTCTTGTTGCCCAGGCTGGAGTGCAGTGGCACAATCTCAGCTCACTGCAACCCCCACCTCCTGGGTTCAAGCGATTCTTCAGCCTCAGCCTCCCGAGTAGCTAGAATTACAGGCACCCACCACTATGCCCGGCTAATTTTTATATTTTTAGTAGAGACGGGGTTTCACCATGTTGGCCAGGCTGGTCTCAAACTCCTGACCCCAGATCATCCACCTGCTTCGGTCTCCCAAAGTGCAGGGATTACAAGCATGAGCCACCGCGCCCAGCCGTGTGTCTGTTTTTATTTCAGTACTGTGCTGTTTTGGTTGCTATAGCCTTGTAGTATAATTTTAAGCCAGATAATGTGATGCCCTTGTTCTTTTTGCTCAGAATTGCTTTGGCTATTTGGAATTTTTTTTTTTTTGGTTCCCTATAAATTTTAGGATTTTTTTTTCTGATGCTATGAATAATGCTATTGGTAATTTGATAGGGATTGTGTTGAATCTGTAGATTGCTTTGCACAGTATGATCATTTTAACAATATTTATTCTTCCAGTCCATGAGTATGGGATGTTTTTCCTTTTTTGTGTACCATGTACAATTTCCTTCATCAGCATTTTGCAGTTCTCCTTATAGAGATCTTTCACCTCCTTGGTTAACTGTATTCCTGGGTTGTCTTTCTTCTTTAGTTGTCACTATTATAAATGGGATTGCTTTCTAGATTTGGTCTTCAGCTAGATTGTTATTGATGTACAGAAGTGCTATGGATTTCTATATGTTAATTTTACATTCTGAAACTCTACTGATTTCATTTATCAAATCTAAGAGTTTTCTGGTGGAGTCTTTATGGTGTCCTAGATGTAAGATAATATCATCAGTGATAGGAATAATTTGACTTCTTCTTTTCCCATATGTATACCTTTTTTTTTTTTTTTTTTTTTTTTGGAGACAGAGTCTCACTCTGTTGCCCAGGCTGGAGTGCAGGTGCAGTGGCATGATCTCGGCTCACCACAACCTCCGCCTCCCGGGTTCAAGCAATTTTCCTCCCTCAGCTTCTCGACTAGCTGGGACTACAGGTGTGTGCAACCATGCCCGGCTAATTTTTATATTTTTAGTAGAGACAGAGTTATACTATGTTGGCCAGGCTGGTCTTGAACT